AAATTACGGAGTCATAGCAAAAAGAATCGTCGAATTCGGACATCGTATGAGAGAGTTATGTCCATTTTCGTGTCGAAAAAGAATGTTGTTTTTCTGGGGCACAGGCAAATTGCAAGTATCAAATGCAATTTATAAGTCTCAGGTGTCAAATGCGACTTGCTTGGACAGGTTCTAAAACGGGGGTTTCAGCCATTTTTAACACATCTAGAGCTAGGGAGCTCGGATTGAAGCGATGTTTGAGGCAATTTTCACCAATGGATTGGGGTAAGTGATTCTAACTCGGTTTTGGTTAAATTACACAAATTTATTATTATTTTTATCAACAAATTAGTGTTTTGGGTTGAAAATGGTAGAAAATTTTGTAGACTTTAATTGAGGATTTGGAGGTCGAGTTGATGTCGGAATTTGGTAAAATTGGTATGGTTGGACTCGTGGTTGAATGGACGTTCATATTTTGTAACTTTTGTCGGGTTCCGAGACTTGGGCCCCACTATTATTTTTTAGTTGAATTTCGGATTTTTATTGAAAATTAAAGTATTTTCATATGGAATTGATTCCTATAATTAGTGTTGACTATATCAAATTAATTGTCATTAGATTCGAGGCATTCAGAGGCCAATTCATGAGGCAAAGGCTTATTGGAATAAAGAATTGCACAGTTTGAGGTAAGTAATATTTCTAAACTCGAAGCTGAAGGTATAAACCCCAAAAATACGTGTTATATGATTTGCTTGGGGGTGATGCACATGATAGGTGACGGGCGTGTGGGCGTGCACTGTAAGAACTATGACGTAATTGATTCTATGGAATTGTGTAGTGATCATGTTAGCCTAATGTCGCATGTCTACGTGTTTTAACTCTTACTTGTAATTTGTGCAACATGCTTAGTTGAGTTACCTGTTTTCTTAATTTCGTATTCAGTCTTTAACTGTAGGATTCCTTACTGTAAATTCATCGTTCCATAGGTCATGAGTGGTGTATTTACTTTTAGGACTACGCGGCGGTACCTCGGGAGCTCCCCTGTTGCATATTTACTTTTGGGGCTACGATACGGTACCTCGGGAGCTCCCCTCTTGCATATTTACTTTTGGGACTATGAGGCGGTACCTCGGGAGCTCCCCTCTTGCATATTTACTTTTGGGACTATGAGGCGGTACCTCGGGAGCTCCCCTGCTGTGTATTTACTTTTCGGGACTACGAGGCGGTACCTCGGGAGCCCCCCTATTATTTTGTTGTCTAGATATTGATACTATAGCACGTGAGTTTTTCGTGTGTATGAATTATCCGTGCGGTTCTATATATTGGTACTATGGAACGTGAGTTGTCCGTGCAGCACGTGAGTTGTCTGTGCTGATTATAGCGCTTGGGCTGAAGGAGCCCCTCCGAAGTCTGCACCCCACATAGTGAGCGTAGTTGATTTTATATATATTTAGGATGGATTTTTCCTGGCATGGATCTTGCCTAATTATCTATATTGAGGGATAGATCTTCCATGGGCTGGATTGACCTTATACAGTAGTGACTGACTGTCAGTTATATATATATTTGGGGATGGATCTTTCCTGGGCTGGATTGGCCATATACAGTACTGAGTGATTGAGTATTCTGAGGATGTGAGTACATGAGTTCATCATTGAGATGTATTGCAATTGACATGCGTACTTGAGATATAGGCATAAAGATGCATTTCCTCTTGGTGCCTGATTTTTGTGACATTCATGATTTCATCTGTATATTGACATGTAGGCATAGAGATGAATTTCTCTCATGCTATCTGAAAAAATAAAAGATCTTATTTATTTTTGAAAGGCTTTTGGAAAGAAAATCACGGTTTTACAAACTTACTCATATTTTGAGGTTTTCGGTGAAAGATCTGGGATTTACTGTTATACTTGAAAGCCATGCCTACTTTCTATAACCATGAACCAACTGGGTTATTTCCTATACTATCTTTATTATACTGTTATGAAATGTTGCCGGTTATTGGAGTGGACTCTGACCCTTGTTCCAGCTCGTCATTATTTTCAACCTAAGGTTAGGTTTGTTACTTATTGAGTACACTCATACTACACTTCTTCCCCTTGCGTGCAAATTTTAGATGTTGATGTTGATGTTGTTGTACATGGAGGGAGATAGCATTGAAGATGTACCTGCGATCCAGTCACATCTGCCTCTTGTTCTAGGTAGCTTTAGAATTTTTAAATCTATTCATGTATATTTCAAACAGATGAAGTATTTTTATTTCACACCAGTTTCATAAATTCTAATCTTAGAAGCTCATGATTTGTACTGCGATCCAATCTCTTGATTGTGTATTTATTTTTATTTCTGAATAGTAATTTGGGGAAAAAAGGAAATTTAAAAAACGTTCAATGAAATAAGAAAAGGAACGCGAAATTAAAAAATAAAAAATAAAAAATAAAAAATAAAAAAATGAAAAGAAACGAGCCAACTTGAGTATAAAACCAAATTATGGTAATATAAAGAAAATAAAGAATAATATGATTCTGGAAAAAAATATATGAACAGAAAAAAAGAAAAAAATGTACATAAAAATGAGAAAAAAAAAGTAGAAAAGAAAGAAAAAAAGTAGAGAAATAAAAAAAGAATATGATAAGAAAAAAGAGAAACAATTACCCACAAAAGTTGCAATGGGTAGGAAGGGTAATTAGTTTAGTTGGTAGAAAAACTAATGGGTAGGTAAGGGTAATTAGTTTAGCTTTTGTGGGTAAAGCTATAAAACTCCCCAAAAAAAGTCGATAGGCAATAGTTTCTTCAAATTCTAATCATTGCCAATGGTCAAATTTCTGGATTTGTTTTACCTTATACCGGTAAGGAATTGGTAATTCTTTATCGGGCCAACCGGGGTGAAATTCAAAAATAGCCAGATTTACAAGTGGTAATTGAAAAATAGCTACAGTTTCAAAAGTAATCGAAATTTAGCCACTTTTCATCTAAAGATAAATCTGAACGAAAACACTGTTCAAAATCCGAAAATTATTCCAGCATAATATATTGAAGTTTGAATTTTTTACATGTGAACTTCTAGCATAATATACTGGACTCCAGTATATTATATTGGAGTTCCAGTATATTATACTGGTCCGGCATAATATGCTGGAAGTTCATACACATGTGCTCCAATCTCCAGTATATTATATTAGAACTTTCTGTGTGCTGGAGTTCCAGCATAATATGCTGGAAGTTCATACGCAGGTGCAACAATCTCCAATTTTCCGTGTTGCAGCAAAAAAAAAGATTATTTTTTAATGACTTTGTAAACGCTGGCTATTTTTTAATTATCCGTCCGAAAACTGACTAACACTTCTATTTTCACGCCAACCGAGGCTCAGTGCACCGGTACCACGAAAAAGGCTCGCATTCGCCTGGAACAACCACTGTACATCCCGCCCTGCCACTTTACTTGCAGGACTGGGCTAACCCAAAGAATACCGGGTCGAATGGGGTCGTAAATGGGCCAGCCCGGCCCAGTAACACCTTTAATTTGTAGTATGCATAACCTTTGGATTTTTTTCCAATTAATATTTTGTTACGAATCTTGTATAGACTTCTACTTATACTGATTTCAGGAGCAAATCATGTCAGCATGTTTACTTTGACAAGATCGACTTTGGAAAACAACCGACTTTTATTTAATGGGATTGTCAATCCCCAATTAGGAAAGCATACATGAATTGGATGATCCAGGTTGCATATGATAACTTTCCTAATAAAGGCTCTATTTCCATTGACCAGATAATAACTTTAATAAAAAGAACTAACAATTTTAATAAAGAGACTGCAATCCCAAGTAGTACTCCCCAAGTATTCGTAGATTTGAAAAATGTGGTTATACTATTATTGATTAGAATCTTGAGATAGATTTGCTTCCATCTCTGTTGAAATAGTAATTGGAGTTCTTCAATATTATATTACTTGGCTTATTCTAACTTCTAGTGCAGATAGTCAGTGTTGATAAAAAAAAAAAGGTCAAAGAAATTGCATGGCTTATGTTGTACATCTTCCGACCCTAGACTATTTTGGTTTAACGAGTTACATATAGTATAAATGAACAGTACGAGGTACAAACCCAATAATTATATGGCTGTAGCCTGTAGGTAGACGTGAAATAATACTTTACTATTTTAAGACTAATAAAACTTTGAACATTACATGCAGAGGCGGATCCAGGATATTTGAAGTTTATGGATTTCAATAACAACCTTAAGTTAACACTATAAAAATAATTGAGAGCACCGTAAAATATTTATAAATATTTATTAAGCTTCTTAATATAAGACACAGTATGGACAAAAGTTATTGGATTCGCGTGAACCCGTAACCAAGTCTCTCCATACGCCCTTTAAAGGGGAACAAAAATAAGGTTTTAAAGCCTAAGGTTCATTCGTGCTGAATTTGAATGAGTCTGCGTCCTGTATAGTGATGCCATGCAATTTGCTAATTCAAATTTGTAATTCAGCTCTTACGTAATTTTCGTCAAATTAAAATTTTGTCCTGAGCTATTGTCTTCCTTTTAACCATTCTGTTCCTCTCTTTATAAATGGTCTTAGTCTCTCATAGTTCTTGAGAAAACCAAGATTCCCAATTTGACCATAACACTATTATTTTGTCAATCAATCTATCCCGTAGATTTTAGATTCAGATGATGACATTTTAATCGCAATGCCGTTCTTTAACCTTGAATCTAGACATGAATAGACAGATAAAACTGAGTAAATTAATTAACTATCCCTATAAAATTCCCCGAGAATTGCAGTCAATTTTAGCAATATGATAAATAAAAATAATTCTCAAACATATTACGTCAGTAGAAACTAGCTAGTGTGTAATACATTACATGATATCTTCGTTGCATAATATCAGTTATACAACTGTTGAAGCAATTACGGACAGTATATATATAGATGGTTACTTGAAAAAGAAAACTTACAAACTTCCTAATAATTAACCACACAAATAGCTAGAGAAGTTGCAGTGAAATGGTTGCCTTCAAGACTATGATTATAGCATCCCTTTTGTTAATGCACTTGTTGGAGACAAATAATGCAGCTGCTTCCAAGAACATTACAACCGATGAGGCTGCTCTTTTAGCCTTCAAGTCTCAAATAACTTTTGACCCCTTTGAAATTTTGTCCAAAAACTGGACAAAAGGGACTGAAATTTGCAATTGGATTGGCATTTCTTGCAGTAAAAGGCATCATGAAAGAGTGACAGCATTAGTCCTCAGAAGCTTGGGATTTAGAGGTTCCGTTTCTAAAGAAATTGGGAACCTCTCCTTCCTTAGGATTCTGGATATTGGAAACAACAGTTTCCATGGCAAAATCCCCTACGAAATCGGGCGTCTGAGGCGTATAAACTACTTGTCCTTGCAAATGAATAATCTAACTGGTGAAATCCCAGCAAGTCTTGGGTTACTTAACAAGATTGAAATGCTGGATCTTTCTGATAATGATTTACATGGACATGTTCCCTTCAATGTCATCTCGGCCTCCTTATTGATCATGGATTTGGGACAAAATCGCCTTACTGGGAATCTCCCAACGGAATTTTGTACTAGCATTCCAAAGTTGCAGGGTTTATCACTCTCACGTAATCAATTAGTAGGCCAAATCCCAAGTGGCCTGAATAAATGCACACAACTTCTTTATCTTTCCTTGTCATATAATCAGCTCACAGGTAATGCTCACTCTTGGACTACATTTTCGTTTCTATCTTCTCTTCTGTATTTGGTTTTTGTCCCGTTGAATCTTACTGTCTGGCGAGCAAGGTTTTCAGGATGACAATCCTAAGTGAATTCGTTTTCTTGTTCTGATCATAGGATTATAAAACAAAATGCCTTTTATTGTATTTATTCCTAGACGTTGGCCGTTTATATCTCTTAAAATTGAGCTAAATATAAATAAACCGAGGTCTAATAAAGAAAACATGGATTTTGCTCCTTCATTAAACAAATGTCTCGAGTTCGAGCCTTTAGAATGGAGATAGTACTCCTTATAGGGAGAGCGCACGAATCCGAAATAGTGGAGTCAATTATTTCAAATACCGGATAAAAGAAAACATGGATTAGAATTAAGCTGAGCATAAGATTTGCCTAAGTTAGATTCTTTGAACTCAAATCTTGCAAAATCAAATTTCAATTCATTGAATTCGTCCTATAGTTCATTATAACCTTTTCACTTATTTATTGAGAAAAATAATATCAAAATATAAATAAATGTCACTGATAAATAGCTTAATTAGTTCCATTATTTCTTAATTTAAGAGGATGTGAGTTTGTTTATCCTAAGTCTCAATTGTCTGGCCAGCTCCCAAGAGGTTTAGACAAATGCAAAGAGCTTGTATATTTAGCCTTAAAATGTTGAGCCATTTTCTTTCTTTGCCCCTTTTGGTTAATGTTGACAATAAAGATTGCTACAATCATTAGTCAAAACGTCTTGTAATGTCGTATTCTACAGGAAACTTGCCTAGACAAATGTGGAACTTGACAAAACTTGAAGATCTGTTTCTTGGATGGAATAACTTAACAGGTACTTATCAAGCATTTGGCTCTCTGTCTAAACATATTCTTGTTTAACAGCTTTGATAGGTTAAACTGAGATTTTTTTTTTTAGCTTCAACGTCTATTACTGAAAAGTGTTGCATTAACTCCTCACCTCGTGGCATCAGAGATCTTTGAAATCAATTAATAGAAAATATTTATATTTCAAGTGTTAGTAGAAAAACATTTTAGTACAACTCTTTGTTCTTCGGTTTCAAACAATAACAAGAACAACTGCGTCAACTCCATGTTATTTTGGGTCGATTATATGAATCCCAATGTTCATGTCGCTCAATTTAGACCCGTCCCAATCCAATATCCAATCATTCATGTTTTCTTATAGTAGAATTTCTCACACGTACACTTTCTACTGGCATTTAGATATTTAATAAGATTAAAAGCCTGCTAGCGAACATTGAACTAAGTAAACATACAAACATAAGTAAGCCTTAATCCCGACAAGCTGGTATCGCCTATATTGATCTTTATCTTCCATTCTGCTCTTGCCTACGCTAAGTCTAAACGGAATCCAATAGATACTAGCTCTTTTGCTTTATATTTACCCTATATCAGGTATTTCATGGTTCGCTTTTGGTATATAAGCAACAGAGATAAAAATATAGGAACACGGTTAAAGTATAGATTATAGAATGAATCTAATTTCATATTGATCTTCAATAGAATGTTGAAACAGTTACAAGGGTTGTTCCCTTCAGGATTTGGAGATAAACGTATAATGCACAAAACTTTATCTAGCTAGCAGTTAAGTGATAGGAGTACTACTTCACAGTATTGGAATTTTTAGTGTATAATCACACAATTTACATAAATTTTACAGGACATATACCAAGTGAAATTGATAACCTATCAGCACTTCAAAGATTAAGTCTTCGACGGAACAATTTGGTGGGAATTCTTCCACCATCTATTGGAAATTTGTCGAATCTAGAGATGATAGACCTAGGTGAGAACAGTTTACAGGGTGACATTCCTCGGGAATTTGAACATCTTGTAAATCTGAAAGAAGTGTATCTTGGCTCAAACCGATTATCAGGTGAAGTTCCAAGGTCTATTTACAACATTTCTGGACTAGAAAAGATTGCATTTGTAGCAAATGAGCTTTCAGGAATACTTCCCTCAAACATAGGCCATAGCCTTCCAAATCTTTAAGGCCTTTATCTTGGGAGAAATCAGTTCAATGGGCTGATTCCTAGCTCCATCGTGAATTCCACCAAGCTTATCCAACTTGATCTTGGCCGCAATCTGTTTACTGGGCATGTACCCATGAATCTTGGAAATCTACAACAGCTTCAATTCATCAGCTTGCAAATAAACCAATTGACAAACGATCCTTCTATGCGCGAGTTAAGTTTTCTTACCTCTCTATCCAACTGCAAGTATCTGAAGACTGTTCAAATAGGAGGCAACAAATTCAATGCAAGTCTTCCAAAATTCCTAGGCTCAGGCAACTGGTCCTTTTCCCTTGAAAATTTCATTGCTGCTAATAATGGTATCACAGGAAAAATACCAACTAACTTCAGTAACTTGAGGAACCTGGAGTGGTTAAGCTTGGGATATAATAAGCTTATCGGTACGATTCCACCAGATTTGGGGAACTTGAGGAAATTGCAAATGTTGAAACTGGACAATAATAATATAGATGGAATTATACCAATTAGCCTGTGTAACTTGGAGAACTTGTTTCTAATTAGCTTGAGCCAAAATCAGCTTTCAGGGAAAGTACCGAGTTGCTTTGGAAATCTTTCTTCTTTAAGAAACCTCTACTTAGATTCTAATGCGCTAATTTCCAGTATTCCATCAACTTTTTGGAGGAATAAAGATATTTCAGTTGTCAATTTGTCCTCCAATTTTCTAAATGGATCTCTTGCACTAGAAATGGGAAACTCAAGGAGTTTGCAGATATTACATTTATCTGGTAATCAGTTCTCTGGTCAAATTCCAAGCACAATTGGACAACTTCAAAATTTGGTTATCCTTTCATTGTCAATGAATATGTTAGATAGTCCTATACCTGAATCGTTTGAAGATTTGGTTTCATTGGAATACTTGGATCTATCCAGCAACAAGCTATCCGGCATGATTCCCAAGTCCTTGAGGAATCTTGAACATCTCATGTATTTCAATGTCTCGTACAATGGGCTCATGGGTGAAATTCCAGATGGAGGGCCATTCGTAAACTTTACAGCTGAATCATTCATGGGTAACCCAGCACTATGTGGAGCGTCCCGGTTCCATGTGATGCAATGCAGAGACAGTAGCCCTAAAAGACCAAAAACAAGGAGGGTTGTAACTTTTGTTCTTGCATCAGTTGCCTCAGGAGTTGTAATGACCACCATTTTCATTGTTTGGTTACTGAAATGCCGAAAAAGGAGTAGGGGACTTCCTCTAGTTGATACATTTGGTCAAGTACATAGGAGGATTTCGTACCATGATATTGCTCAAGGGACAAACAACTTTGATGAAGCAAACTTGATTGGGAGGGGGAGCCTTGGATTGGTGTACAAAGGGACACTTGCAGATGGAAAGGTTGTGGCAATCAAGGTATTCAATGCAGAAATGCAGCATGCATTCAGAAGTTTTGATGTGGAGTGCCAAGTTCTACGAAGCATTCGACATAGGAACCTTGTTAAGGTGATAAGTAGTTGTGCGAATTTTGATTATAAAGTGTTGGTGCTAGAGTACATGCCCAATGAAAACCTTGATCGTTGGCTTCACTCTCCCCACAAATTTTTGGATTTAACTCAAAGATTAAAGGTGATGGTTGATGTGGCTTCTGCTATGGAGTATTTACATGGAGGTCATTTGTTCGTAGTCGTCCATTGTGATTTGAAACCGAGTAATATACTTTTGGATGGAGATATGGTGGCAAAAGTGAGTGACTTTGGGATATCCAAACTTCTAACAGCTGAGACGCTAATAGCACATACCAAAACCTTGGGTACTATTGGCTACATGGCACCAGGTAAATGTTACTACCAAGTTAATTTGGGTAAATTTTAAACGACCTTAATTATTTTCATTAATGTGATTACATGAAATATTTTGCAGAGTATGGTTCAGAAGGCAAAATCTCAACCAAGGGAGATGTTTATAGCTTTGGTATTCTGTTAATGGAGACTTTTACAAGAAAGAGCCCTGTGGATGATCTATTTGTTGGAGACTTCACCTTGAAAAGATGGATATGCCAATCATTACCAAACCGAATGGTGGATGTAGTGGACATCAATTTATTTTCACTGGACGAAGAAAATTTTATGTCGAAAGAGAGATGCTTCAAATCAATCATGGAATTAGCTCTTGAATGCACAAATGACTTGCCTGAAGAGAGAATTAGTATGGAAGATGTTAATGTTCGACTCAAGAAGATCCTAACTCGATTTCTGCAAAATGTAGTGACAAACTAAAGGGTAGTGCTGTAGTCTATTTCTTGACAGGCAAATTGAAAATATTTGATAGAACTTTAAGAGATTGAAAATCTTTCACTTCAATTGTTTCAGAAAATTTGTTTTGTGTTTATTTTTCTTTATGTGTGAAGTTCTTTATGTACGTATCAGCTTTCTTCTTTTCCTTTTTTTCTTCTTCCTAGCATCAATCTACAACTTCTTGATAACATGTATGTTCATACATGATTATGTTTCTCTTTGAAACCGAGAAATCCCCCGAGGATAATGGGGCACGACTCGAAACTCGGTGGATAATGGACCCGCTTCTATATCTTTCTCCACACAAATACTACTAGGATTTTTGTGAGCGGTAGGTTTCGAACCATTTCTGTGCACCTAACCCACCATATATGATAATATTTTTTAATGACGACAAATCGATATTGTTCACAGAAATTCGAAAGTTTATTCATCTGTAATCAGTAAGAGATCTTGTTAACTGATACCCCTGGATAAATTATCAGTACATTGGGTGGCTTGAAACTACTTACCACACAATATACAAGATATTGCAATTTCATTAACACTAGCATATTTTATGAAATATTAGCTGATAGAAGCAGCAGTAATGCTAAAGGAACATATCAATTAATACACAAAACACTTACACTTCTTTATGTGAGGTGCATAGATGAAGCATTTGCCAAAAAAGTGTATTAGATGTCCATCCTTTGCCACTGCAAGGATTAAAGAAGGAAGGAAACAGTAAGATTACCTAGGAACCAAACCTGTTTTGGACAAATGAATAAATAGAAATTAAGAAAAGAAGCATATCACTTGAGAACTTCACTACAATTTGACAACTTAACATCAAGGACCTAGCCCTGATCAGCAAATATGGAGTTCATGATCGGGAGTTAAACCATGAGCACGCCTCAAACATATACAAACTAACCAGTATAAGTTCAGAGAACTGGAAACAACAGAATGATTTTTGTACTACAACTGAGAGAAACATCTGAGAAACCAGACAGATTTGCTGAGATACCTACAGTACAGACGAATCCAGCTGGAAACGTAACTAGGTCAATCAAATACTGACGAATCGCGCTGGAAATGTATTTAAAGCACAAAAAGAGTGCCCTAAATCTAATTACACTCTTGATCATACAAAATAGTATTGCATTAAACAAATCTTAGAATCTTAACCAGAATTATACAGGGGATTGCGGTGATTTGAAAGCGTAAAACCAGAAAAGCGACTGGTTGAAACATAATAACGCCAGGATCAAGATCTTACTAGTTTCTTCTTCCATAATTTTCTTTCTTTATCTGATTCAATTGGATCGGATGTCTCTGTATCTTCCGCTCTCTTGACACCCTTGCTCTCTCTCACACACACACTCTCAGGTTACCGCGTTCGTTGACTAAACAAGTCGTAAATGGGAAAAGCTCCAAACAATTTTGATCTATATATATATATATATATATATATATATATATTGGCATGGGTGAGTAAATTGAGTGGGATTATGGTAGATTTTGACTAATATTGTGTCTTATCTTTGAGGGTAGGTCTATTTTGATCCCTCAAATATAGCCATGAGCATACTTAGTCCCTTAAGTATACTAAAGTGGAGCATCTTTAGTCTCACCGACACAATATGTTCAAAAACTAACGATGTTACACAACTCTGATTCGTGAAGCAAATCTTCTGCTCTAAAGCAAAACGTTTCCTCTCCTTTTATAGGATAACGCAAATTATCACTTTAATTCCTCATTTTTAGATAATGTCTTCTAAAATTTTGACCTTAAAAATATCTCTTTCTGTGTAAGTTTTCAATAAAAAAATGACTCTTTATAGCCGCTGTAAAAATAATAGCCTAAAATGACGTCTCTTTTCTATTAGAGAGACAAGTACTTAGTACTATTGATAATTTTCTTGAGTGTTATTTATTTATTTTTATTTTTTAACTAATTTAAAATATAAATATCATATCTATATCCCCTCTTTTCGTATATTTCTTTCTACTGTAATACTTATTTGATTAGTTTTTGAAATTTTGTAGTTTATTAAAAATTGAAATAATGTAATATTCTTTTACTAAATTATAATTTTGAATTCATCAAAAGTATAAAGAGATGCATATATATATGCTTATCTTATGTATAATATCCGGCTAATTTTATATATATATATATATATATATTTTTATTTTTTTTTTAATATATTTGTAAAACTTGAACTTGAAACTACTCCCCAACTTGATGGGTAGTTTTCTTTTCCTTTTTTTATTATATATATTTTCATTTTTTTATTATAGCTAATTTTCTTTTCTTTTTATTTTGCTTTTTATTTTTATTTTAAAATATTTGTAAAACTTCAACTTAAAACTACTTCCCAATTTGAATGGGCAGTTTCTTTTCCTTTTTTTTTTTATTATAGCTAATTATAAGATATCTTTATTTATTAATTTAAATAGAGTAATCAATTAATTCAAAATTTAAAATTTAAAGATTTTTTAGTTAGAATGGGAGTAACCAAAACTATTCCCCAACTTGAATAGGTAGTTTTTTTTGTTTTAATTTTTTAATATTTTCATTTTTTACTGCAGCTAATTTAATTTTTTCTTATTTTTTGTTTTTTAATTTTAAAATAATTTTAAAACTCCAACTTGAAACTACTCCCCAGTTTGAATGCCCCTTGAAAAATATTTTGTCTTAACAATGCCACTTGACTTTTTGTATTTATCATTTGAATTGAAAGTTTTTTTATTTCTTTATTTTTGTTTTTTTATTTTAAAATAATTTTAAAACTCCAACTTGAAACTACTCCCCAATTTGAATGGGTATTTTTTTATTTATATATTTTCGTTTTTTATTATAACTAATTTTACTTTTTCATTTGTTTTTTTTTATTTTAATATATTTTTAAAACTCCAACTTGAAACTACTCCCCAATTTGAATGGGTATTTTTTTATTTATATATTTTCGTTTTTTATTATAACTAATTTTACTTTTTCATTTGTTTTTTTTTATTTTAATATATTTTTAAAACTCCAACTTGAAACTTCTCTCCAATTTGAATGGGTAATGTTTTTCGATTTTTATTATAGCTAATTATAATATATCTATATTTATTAATTCAAATAGAGTAACTAATTAATTCAAAATTTAAAATTCAAAAGATTTTTTTGGTTAGAAAGGTAGTTTATTTTGTCTTACAACTCCAACTTGAAACTACTCCCAAATTTAAATTTGTAATTTTTTATTTTTTTCAATTTTGTTTTTTATTTAAAATAATTTTAAAACACCAAGTTTGTTGGAACTTTGTCCTAAAAATATATATTTGGCGTCTCATGGTTATACCACTTGATATCATATAATTATTTACTTCTCTTTTTGTGTGTGCGTATATATATATAAAGACTACTTCCCAGATTGAATGAGTAGTTATTTTTTATATATTTGCATTTTTTATTATAGCTAATTATAAGATATCTATATTTATTAATTCAAATAGAGTAACCAATTAATTCAAAATTTAAAAAAAAAAATTTATAGTTAAAAAGGTAGTTTATTTTGTCTTAATAATGCCACTTGGCTTTTGTGGTTATTTCACTTGTCTTAATAATGTGCTTTTGTCTCTTCTTTTATTATATATATAAATATATAGNATATATATATATATATATGCTTATCTTATGTATAAAGGTAGTTAACCTGCGCTGGTGTGTCTATGGCAAGGGCGAGAGGCAGAGGTAGCGGTCAAGGTAGAGGGCAAGGTCGCCCAAGGAAGATACCGGTCATCAATTTTGGAAGTACAGCTGGGAATCATAGCGCAGATCCAAGGAAAAATGAAGAAGATGTGCCAATATCCCCTCATGCACAAAGGGGATCTAAAGAAGGGAATCAAGGAGAGACTTCAAATGGAGGCATGCAGGAGATTCAAATGAGTTCAGAAGCAGCATTGAAAGGAACAAATCTAGAATCGGAAGCAACAAAGGAAATTAGTGTCACTCCAAAAGCACAAACCAATGAAACAGTAATTCCAGTAGAGGCGAGGAAGGAGCAACCAAAGATGGAGGATAATCCAGCGTGGGTGAATCTATTTGCTAAGAATAGAGCGGCAGAAAATGGTATGGCACTAACATATATCCCACCACAAGCTGCCAATGGTCAAATAATTGTACAATTGGATAGGGAAGAGGTTGACAGAGAAACTGAGAAGTGGAGAGGGGCTTTAATAGCTTATGTAATTGGGGATTTGTCGGGATATAATGTCATGAAGAGATACATAGAGATAAATTGGAACGCTATCCCAGAACCAGGTTTGTTTATGCATGAGGATGGATACTATATCATCAAGTTCAAAATGAGGGAAGACATGCAGGCTATTTTATTTTCTGGTCCATATACAATCAATAATAGACCTATTATCCTTAAGCAATGGACAACAGATTTGATTTTGAGAAGGAATTCCCTACAGAAATTTCTTTATGGATCAGATTTCTTAAACTTCTATTGAATTGCTGGGGGGTTAATTCACTAAGTAGGATTGCCAGTTCAATTGGATCTCCTATATATGCTGATGAATGTACTGCAAAATAGTTAAGAGTTTCTTATGCAAGGATGCTATTCGAAGTTGATGTGACCAAACCTCTACTAGATGAAATAACTCTGGAGGATCCAAATGGGAGAGCCTTCTTGCTACCAATCATTTATGATTGGAAACCAAAGTTTTGTGATAAATGCCAAGTTATTGGACATAAGTGTCAGCAAGAAGGGAGAAGACAAGAGCAGCAATATAGGGTACCAATGAATGAAAAAAGAGGGCCAAAGAAGATTGTACAACAGTGGATCACTAAAGAGAAAGGCAAAGCAAAGCAACAAATAGATGAGGAAGTTATGCAAGAGCAAAACCAAGTCATTCACCATCTAGTGGAAACAAATGTTCTCACAGATGCAGGGCAAGGTTCAGGGGAGGTGAAGAACACTATGCAAGTGCAAAAAAAATATAAAACACCAATTGCTACAAACAAGAGTAAAGATGTGGAAAGAGCAAGTCCAAAGTTAAATGATATCAGTTTTCCGGTGCTTGGTTCAGTACCAGTGAGGAATGGGTTTCAAATTTTGAGTAAAGAGGTGAAAGGGGCTCAAACTGAACCTCCTGATATAGGAGGTAAAACAAAGAGATCAGTATGACTTGGCTTGTGTGGAATATAAGGGGACTGAATAAGAGGTATAAGCAGAAGGAAGTACAGAAAATTCTGAAAACAAAAAAATAGGAATAGTTGTTATCATAGAAACAAGGGTTAAAGAGAATAAGGCTGAAATTATTAGTAAAAATATAGCTCCAGGATGGGATAGATTATATAACTATTCAGCTACTAGTAATGGTCGAATATGGGTACTATGGGACACCAACAGATATCAGGTTACTAAGCTAGTTGAAGGTGCTCAAATAATGCATTGTGAAGTAAGAGTGTTTGCCACACAGATTGATTGTTATGATCACTATCATCTATGGATTCAACACTATTGAGCAAAGAAAGGAGCTATGGGAAGATTTGAAAATACTAGCTCAAAGCATTACAAAACCTTGGCTAGCGATAAGGGATTTTAATGCAATAATGTGCTCAATGGATAGAGTACATAGGAATCCAGTCCATCAAGCTGACATTCAAGATTTTGTTGACTGTATTCAAAGAACCAATCTGAGTGAACTGCTACGGAGAGGAGACTACTATACATGGACTAACAAACAAGGAGTGGAAGACAAAATTTTAAGTAGAATTGACAGAGCTTTTGGGAACTATGAGTGGATGATGAAATGTGGTAATATAGTAATGGAGCCAGGAATATCAGGCCATGCTCCAATGTTACTTGCACTGGGAGATGATCAGTTGAGCATCAAATGTCCATTTAGATTCTTCAATGTATTGGCAGAATATAAAGATTTTGAACATATGGTTGAAGACACTTGGAAGCAAATAAAAGACCCTTGGCTCATAAGGGGAATATGGAAGAAATCGAAAGCACTTAGGCCCAGACTAAAGCAGCTGAAAATAGTGAATTCAGAAATGTAACTCAGAAGATAGAAGATACAAGAAATGAGCTTATGACAATTCAGAGTCAGCTGCAGCAGAATTATAATGAGATCATGCACCAACAAGAAAGGAGTGCATTATGGAAACTAGAGAAATGGTCAATGGTTGAAGAAAGAATTATGAAGCAGAAAGCAAGAGCTAAATGGATACAACTGGGGGATGCAAACACAAAGTACTTCTCAGTTGTAATGAAGGATAGGAACCACAGGAAACAGATAAAAGAATTGACAACTTTGGAGGGAAGAAAGATTAATCAACTAGGAGAGATTAAAGAAGAGGCCATTAGATTCTATAAGAGCCTAATGGGAACAACTGAAAGGAACCTTCCAGTAGTAAACAGAATGGTAATGAAGAAGGGACCAACACTGAGTCAAGAACAAAGACAGTTATTATGTGCAGAAGTCACAAAGCAAAAAGTACATGAGGGTCTGAAAGGCATAGAGGAAGACAAGGCCCCAGGAATTGATGGGTATAATGTTGTGTTTTACAAAACAAACTATGGCACATTATTGGTAAAGAGGTGACTAAGGCAGTGAGAGAGTTCTTTTCAACGGGAAGATTGTATAGGGCCATTAATTGTACAGCTATTACTTTGATCCCCAAGACTGATAATCCAACAACAATCAAAGAGTACAGACCTATAGCATGTTGCACAATGCTATATAAACTAATCTCCAAGATCTTAACAGCAAGATTGCAAAAGGTAATTGATGGTATCATTTGTGAAGCACAGGCTGAGTTTATTCCAGGAAGGAAAATTGGTGACAACATCATAATGGCTCATGAATTAATCATGGGATATACAAGGAAACATATGACACCAAGATGTATGATAAAAATAGACCTGCAAAAGTCCTATGACTCAGTTGAATGGAGCTATTGGAATAAAGTATGAATCTGCTGGGATTTCTTGAACAGTTTATAGCTTGGGTGATGGAATGTGTCAAAACTATAAATTACACTATCATGGTGAATGGAGAGCAAACAGATCTCTTCAATGCTGAAAAGGGACTCAGACAAGGAGACCATGTGTCTCCATTTTTATTTGCAATTGCAATGGAATATTTGAGTCGAATCCTAAAGAAGATGACAGAGAAGCAACAATTCCATTATCATCCTAGATGTGCAAAGCTGGAAATAACTCATCTATGTTTTGCAGATGATCTGTTGATATTTTCCAGAGGTGATATTTCTTCAGTAACTGAAATACTTAACAGCTTCAATTAATTCTCAAAGGCTTCAAGTTTGCAAGCAAATCTAGGGAAGAGCTCCATTTATTTTGGAGGGGTAACACAGAATGATCGGGAATTAATGCTAAGGAAATTGGGATTCACAAAAGGAGTGCTACCATTCAAGTATTTGGGAGTCCCTCTATCTACTAAGAAGCTGACAATAATGCAGTGGCAGCCTCTCATTGAGAAGATTGTGGCAAGAATCACATCATGGACAGCAAAAAAACTGTCTTATGCAGGAAGAAGTCAACTGATAAGTAGTGTATTGTTTGGTGTGCAATCCTATTGGGCTCAATTATTTATTCTACCAATAAAGGTAATGAAAGCAGTGGAAGGTTTCTGTAGGAGCTACTTATGGACAGGCAATAATGTCATAATAAAGAAAGCACTGATCAATTGGGAGAGAGTTTGCTTCCCTAAAAGTAGTGGAGGCTGGAATTTAATAAACTTGAGAATCTGGAACAAGGCTGCTATTATAAAACTATACTGGGATCTGGCAAGAAAAGAAGATAGGATATGGATAAGGTGGATACATGCATATTACATAAAAGGGTAGCGGTTGGAGTACTTAATAGTATCAAAACAAGCAAGCTGTATGGTGAGAAAAATTATAGGGGCAAAGAACATTCTAGCATAGGAAAGTATAACTATCTGTAGAAACAAGAGTGTCATGAAACAAATATATCTTCACTTGCTGGGGGATTATGTCACGACCCAAAAATCCTAACCTGTCGTGATGGCGTATATCTCAGTATTAGGAAAGCCGACAACATCAATAACCCACGATTTCCTTTAAATTTTTTAAAAAATATAACGTTTAATACAATACCAAAAATCTAGCAATTTCCGATACAACACTCCCAAAATCTGGTGTCACTGAGTACATTAGCATCTAATATGAGTACAAGTCTGGAAAATTACATTATATAATAGTCTGAGATCAAATACAGTAAACAAGGAGATAGAGAAGGAGAGACAAGGTCTGCGGAATACGACAGCTACCTCAAAATCTCCTGAAAATCAACTGCGCGAAATGATCAATACCCTCTATGTTCAGGAACACCTGGATCTGCACACGAAGTGCAGGGTGTAGTATGAGTACAACCAACTCAGCAAGTAACAATAATAACTAAGGAACTGAAGATAATGACGAGCTACACAGTCATAGTTCACTTTCAGTAGTTCCAGCAAAGAATAAACATGCTTTCAAATCCGGCAGTTTAAGTCAAATCAATTTTATACAGTTCAATTTCAAGTAATCCGGACATAAATTCTTTCAGAGATTTCACAAAAATGACAGATAGCAACTAAGTGCAACCACAAATGCAAAGCAAGTATAGCCTATCAACTCATCACAACAGCTCAACCACTTGGCTCTCATCCCTCAGCACTCATACTCAATGGGTACCCACGCTCACTAGGGGTGTGTACAGACTCCGGAGGGGCTCCTACAGCCCAAGCGCCATAATCTGCATGGACAACTCACGTGCTTTAATATCCTGCACGGATAACTCACGTGCCATAATATCCTTACCTCACCGACAGGCCCTCGGCCTTACTCAGTCCCCAACCTCTCAAGTCTCTCGGGCTCTCAGAAATCACAAAGATCAGCCCAAACAAAGATAACATAGTGCATCAACAAATATCAAGAAAGACTGAGGTATGATACGCTAGTAAAATCATGACTGAGTACAAGATAGCAATTAGCAAATAATTCAACAAGTACGTGACCTATGTGGATTCCAACAATACTATCACATAGCCTAAGCATGATTTCTAACATGATTTACAGTCAAATTTATCTAACACAAAGAGAGCTTATAGCTAACAACATGTTATTCAGCTTTACAGTTCACGGGATAGACCAAGTCACAATCCCTTCGGTGCACGCCCACACGCCCGTCACTTAGCATGTGCGTCACCTCCAAAATAATCACATGACACAAAATCCAGGGTTTCAAACCCTCAGGACCAGATTTATAACTGTTACTTACCTCAACCCGTGCAATTATTTATTCCGCTATGCCCTTGCCACGAGAATTGATCTCTGAAAGCCTCGTATCTAGCCACAATTAATTCAATTCAGTCAATACAAATTATTGTAATTAATTCCATAAGGAAATATAAATTTTCCCAATAAAATCCGAAATTAACTCAAAAATTTACTGTAGGGTCCATGTCTCGAAACTCGACAAAAGTTATAGAATATGAACGCCCATCTAACCACGAGTCCAACCATATAAATTTTACCAAAATCCGACACCAACTCGACCCTCAAATCTTCAATTAAAACCTATGAAGATTTCTACCATTTTCAACTCAATCCTTACCCATTTGAATTAACAATCTTTCCATAACCTTATTGGTATGTATACATAATACTCTTACATCCAAGAATCATACTATTAATCACCCATCTTTACTTCAAACCCGAAATTGAAGAATTGGGGAAAGAAATTCTTACCTCTTTGAAGCCCTAGCAAGATCCTTATGAAATCTTCAAACCTTGAACAAGAATTGATGGATAAATGACCAAGTCTTCACTTTCTCTCTCTAAAATTCTCTCACCTCTCTCTAAAATATCAGATTTTGGCTAAAAAATGAGCTTCAAGAGCTATAAATCGAAGTTGGGTCGGGTCAAAAATTAGAAAGAATGGAAGCTCCGACGCAGTTATGCGGTCGCATATGCGATCGTATAACAGGTATGCGGTCCGCATACCGGCCGCATAATTTGTCCTCCAAAGTTAGGCGTTACTGACCTGTTCTGCAGTCATTATGCGGTCTGCATACTTGTTTTGCGATCGCATAATGCACCACAAAACAGATATGCGGTCGCATAGTGTGGTGCAGATTTTCCTCAAATCTTGCCCTCCTCCTATTCCACTTTGCGACCATTATGCGATCCGCAGAGTGATTCTGCAACCGCATAGTGGTCGCAGAAATGACCATTTTCCGACAAAATTTTCCTTTACACTTCGGTGCATTGTTCAACCCAAAAAGTCCGAGCCGCTCTGTACTAATTGATCTACCTCGGCACCACCAAACCTTAATTTCCTTAGCAAAATTTCTCTGAGGTCGTTACACATAAGTTAGCATCCGGTCAACTTTTTCAACTTAAATTCTAAACCTTGGAACTAAGCGCTCCAAATCATTTCAAAACCTCACCGAACCCAAACCAATTACCCCGGCAAGTCAAATAACAACTGTAATTCACAATTTGAGCAGTAAATGGGAAAACGGGATTGCAATAGTCAAAACGACCGGCCGGATCGTTACAGATCAACCTAGAGTACCATGGAAATGTTTGATGTTTGGGAATGCTGGAAGACCAAAAGCAAGATTCACACTCTGGGTACAAATGCAGAATAGATTACTAACAGGAGATAGATTGAGCAAATGGGGCATGGAGATTGAAACCAAGTGCAGTTTATGTCAGAAAGCGGAAGAAACTAGAGATCATTTATTTGTGGATTGTGAGTATATGAAGGCAGTGATGAACAAGATTATGATCTGGACACATAACCAAAGCATAATAGTAGGGAATTGGGAGCAACATGTGCATGAGGTGATCAAACGAGCTAAAGGCAAATCAAATGAGGCTCAACTATTCAAGATGCTATATACAGAGATAGTATACTATATATAGATAGAGAGAAACAGAAGAATTTTTTAGAAGACAAGTGTGGGATGGGAGAAAATAGTCAAGGAGATAGCATGTATTTGTCGTGTGCGAGCTCCTCCTAGAATAGCGGAAATAGTTCATAGATATAGATTCTAAAATATAAAACTAGGATGAGAAAGAGATTACTGTAAATATGATAGTTAGCTGAGGTAGCTANAACTTGAAACTACTCCCCAACTTGATGGGTAGTTTTCTTTTCCTTTTTTTATTATATATATTTTTATTTTTTTATTATAGCTAATTTTTTTCTTTTTATTTTGATTTTATTTTATTTTAAAATATTTGTTAAACTCCAACTTGAAACTACTCCCTAATTTGAATGGGTAGTTATTTTTTCCTTTTTGTTTTTTATTATAGCTAATTATAAGATATATTTATTTATTAATTTAAATAAGAGTAACCAATTAATTCAAAATTTAAAATTGAAAGGTTTTTTTAGTTAGAATGGGAGTAACCAAAACTATTCCCCAACTTGAATAGGTTGTTTTAAAAAAAAAAAACTATTTTCGTTTTTTACTGTAGCTAATTTAACTTTTTCTTATTTTTTGTTTTTAATTTTAAAATAAATTTTAAAACTCAAACTTGAAACTACTCCCCAGTTTGAATGCCACTTGAAAAATATTTTGTCTTAACAATGCCACTTGACTTTTTGTATCTTTAATTTCGTTTTTTATTATAAAATAATTTTAAAACTCCAACTTGAAACTACTCCCTAATTTGAATGGGTAGTTTTTTATTATATTTTAATTTCGTTTTTTATTATAAAATAATTTTGAAACTCCAACTTGAAACTACTCCCTAATTTGAATGAGTAGTTATTTTAATATAAATATTTTCCTCTTTTTTTTACATCTAATTGTTTTTTATAAATAATTTTAAAATTACAACTTGAAACTACTCCCCAATTTGAATGAGTATTTGATTTTTATATTTTCATCTTTTTATTATAGCTAATTATAAGATATCTATATTTATATCATTCAAATAGAATAACCAATTAATTCAAAATTTAAAATTCAAAACGTTTTTTAGTTAGAAAATAAGTTTATTTTATCTTAAAACTCCAACTTGAAACTAATTCCCAATTTGAATTGGCAATTTTTATTTTTTTTTATTTTATTTTTTATTTTAAAATAATTTTAAAATTCCAATTTTGTCCTAAAAATCTACACTTGTCGTCTTATGGTTATACCACTTGACATCATATAATTATTTACTTCTTTTTTATATATATAAAATAAAATAGATATTTATATAGACTACTGTATTAGGAAGAAACTGCTCCTCAATTTGAATTGAAAGTTTTTTATTTC